TGATGTTTTTAGTATTCTTTCATATCTGTTTCATTTTTATTCTTTAGGTAGCACTGGAGGGTAGGAAAGGCAGGCATTACTTTCTCCTTCTTTCCAGGTTATAAAATTGAGATGCAGAGAGGCCAGAATCTAAGAAAATGAGTTTTGGAGCCAAGGTTTTGTACCTTCCATAACTGGACTGCTTCTACGGGGACAGCAGTACCAAGTTGTGAATCAGAATTTCATAAACTATAGTTTCGGAAAGTAAAATAATTCTAATTTGACTGGCTATTGAATCAAACTTTGTGCTCAGCAATGAATTAGATAATGTGATATAGAAGTAAGTATAGAGGGAAATCTTAAAATTGTGAAATTTAAAGGTCCACACAGAGGGAAAGAAACAAGTACAGACTAGTTCCTAGGCTTGCAGTCAGAAACTTCTAGATCTGCAACCTAACTACTGTGTGACTTTCAATAAAGGACAAAACACCCATTTAAGTACCAGGAGTTGAATATAAAGTGCCTGGCTCATTGCTTGCCATATGGTAGGGGCTTATGCTAATTTCTCAACGTCCCTTTATCTAGAAAGATATGCTCCTTCCTTTAATTTGTCAAAGGTAAAACCAGGTTTTAGCATGTGCTTTTTTTGCAATAATGACTTAAGAAATGTTGTTGAAACCAAAAAGGACAATGGAGAGATTTACAAAGAAAAGGACAACGAAGAAATTTGAAAGAACATGTAATCAAATTGCATATATATATATATATATATATATATAGCTTGTATGTACTATTTATATATATAATATATACACACATATATACACATATACATATATATATATAATATAAATACTAATAACTATAGCATACATTATAAATGGAAAAAGAAATCAATGTGTTTGGCATGTGAAACACGTTAATTAAATGATTTCTAAGTTTTACTCTGCCCCGAAATGATAAGATATTATTGTAGATAGAGAAAAGGGAAAACCCTTGCTCTATTCCCACCTGCCTCCTCTTTCCAGAGTAGACTATTAATCTAAGATTCTAAAATGCTGTTTGGACAACATTTATAAATGATGGTGGGGGGAAGAACAAATATGTTTTAAAAATCATGCTTTCAGGTCTGACATTTCTTTATCTTCCTCTGACCCATTCTGAGGAAGCCAGGAGGGTGGGGGGAGGGGAGGAGGGGGGTGGTGCATCTTCAGGAAAACCCATCTACAGCTTTCTCACTCTACCCCCTGCTCACCCAGGGCTGGGTTAGTTAGCCAACTGCCCCCAGGTCGGCCCCAGCTAGAGCTTTTTTTTCTCTTTTTTTTTTTGCCAAATTTGTTGACAGATTACATGCCCTTGGGCATGCAAATCACATTATCTGGTGATAAGGTTATAGAAACTCCCTACTTCCCTTACGGCTTAAATTTAAATCAAGTTTCCAGCCAAGTCACCAGAGAGCTCCCATCAAGGACTATGACATCAGCAAACCTAATGAATAAAGTGGATTTTTTGTTTCCTATTTGCCTTTTTTCCTTGTGCTAAAGCCTCTCAGGAACATCATGGGGAGAATATCTATGGTTTGGTGCGTGTGTTTTGTTGTGTTCTGTGGGGGTTGGAGCAAGGGATTATGTGGATATTATTGAGCATTGTGGTATCTTACGTAACATTACAATTCTGTCCTCATCTCTAGCAACCTGATTCTATGCAGAGGAAGGCATAATAGAAACAGAGCAAGGAGAACCAGGCAGGATTGGAAAGGTAGGGAGGCCAACCGAGGAAATATTAAAACATGTATCACTCTCTACACTTTGGAAATGTCATATTAAACAATCACATGTATGAAAGAATGTTTGTGGGAAAAAATTAAATATGTTCTATTAACTAAATTTCAAGATATAAAACTTACTTAAATGGAGTCCAAGTGGCAAACTTTTCCACTGGAGAAAAGGAAACTCTCATGCACTGCTGCTGGGAGTGCAAATTGGTGCAGCTGCCATGGAAAACAGTATGGAGGTTCCTCAAAAATTAAAAATGGAACTACCTTATGGTCCAGAAATCCCCCTTCTGAGTATTTATCCAAAGAAACCCAAAATACTAATTCAAAAAAATATATGCAGCCCTATGTTCATTGTAGCCAAGATACGGAAGCAATCTTAGTGCCCACTGATAGATAAAGAAGAGGTGGTACACACATATGATGGAGTATTACTCGACCATAAAAAAGAATGAAATATTACCATTGGCAGCAACATAGATGGACCTAGAAGGTATTATGCTAAGTGAAATAAGTCAGACAGAGAAGGACAAATACCATATGGTTTTACTTATATGTGAAATTTAAAAATCAAAATAAATGGACAAAGGGAAAAAAAGGAAGCTAAGTAAGTAATAGCACTGAAGGGAAGCAGAGTTTGCCACCCCAAAATATGCCTTTTGGGATATTGATTACTTTAAGCTGGTTATTTTCAAGCAACCAAAAACTCAGGAAAAACCTGACTGGCCTAAAAAAAAAGTTAGATACAGGGCCTGCTCTGGGAAGAGAGCTATCAGCATAGATAACTACAGTTTAATATGAACTAAGTGTGACAGACAGGAAAGAGCCTTGCAAGGTCTCTTTAATCAAAGTCCTCTCTGTTTCCCATTGTTAAAAATGACCCAGAAAACACTTATTTACCAAACGCTTATGTCCTGGGGTCTCATATTCTTATGTACATATGTAACAAATTAGGTAATTTTCTCCTGTTAATCTGTCTCCTGTTAATTTGACTATTCCATCCAGAAGAATTTAGAAGGGTAAAAGGAAGTTTGTTTACCTCCCATACATTATCAACGCTAATATTGTAAATGGAAGTGTGTGCCTGGATATGTGTGTGTGTGTGTGTGTGTGTGTGTGTATTTGTGTGTGTGTGTGTATTTGTGTGTGTGTGTGTATTTGTGTGTGTGTGTCTGTTCTGTTGGTGGTGATAGGGAAAATGTGTACAGGACCAATTCCTAACGCTAGGAAATGTTTAATTGTGGCTTAAATTCTCATGGAAAAAAGAAACCCAGCTATGATGATGACAGAGTAGCTAAAATAAAGGTTTCTACCAATGATATGTATTTAAAAATCAGTGCATGGAACACCAGATACGTTACAAGCACAAGCGCAAGTCTTTCCATTTGTGTTAAAGCCAATTTCTGGTGTTGAAAGCAACAGTGTCACTCCCATACCAACAGTAGGAAATAATGAATCACTTACAGTGAAAGTGATGTTTTTTTGAAACTACCAGAGAACTGAGATCACAAGGCAACCAAGAAAACCCCATTCCAAAGAGAAAACCAAGTCTTCTTCAAGGAAAGACAGGACACACCTTTTGGCAGGCGCAGGAGAAACAGACGGTTATAAGTGTGTAACAAGAAATCAGCTAACATTTTAATGGATGGCCTTTCTATGCCTTGAGATGTTGCCCATGGTGGCCAACGCCAGAACTGGGCCACTTTACGGAATCTCCAATTGGATGCACCAACATTCAAATATTACAAAGCATATTTTACACCATTAGGCAGTATGACATGGTGGGAAGATGTCAAATGCAATATTTCTGATAGGCATTATCCTAGTCTAATATTTCTCATTTTCTCTTCTTTTGAAGCTCTGTTCTAAACCCAGCAGTTAGTCATTTCTGAGTCTGTCATTTTGCCTGGAGTTGTTAGAATACAGAAAATGAGAAGTGATAAAATTCAGCAAGGAGAGGTGGCTGCTTTGCTTCTCAATCTCAGAAAAACATGTGCCATACACTGAAAATTCAATAAATCATCATGGTGGATTATAATTAATTTCTATTTTAACTGTTTGAGGTTGACTTCCTGAAATAGGAATGTCTACACATATATATAATGAAAGCTGTGGCCAAAAATTTTGGTATTTTACATTTATCAAAGCAGTGCCTCTTTAAATCACTTCAGTCATCGACTCCTTATGTCAATAATGGCACAGCACTTGAAAGGTTAAAGTTGTTTTGTTTTCACTTTCAGTCATACTAAACTGAACAGGACATCATTTCATCAATGGTAAGATCACTGCTCTTATCTGTGATAGCAAAACTACATAACTTCTGAAATGTTACATTAGGCACTTATCAGAAAATGATTATCAAAACCTGCTGCGAACCAAGTACAATAAATTTCACACACGTACTAACTGTGGGCTTGACTGGCTAGATTAACAATCTAGTTCCATCACTTACTAGCTGGAGACCCTTAAGTAGGTTACTTGACGTTTCCAAGACTCAGTTCTCTCATCTGCAATACCTGGATGGTAGTAATATTTAAATCACAGGATTGTTGTGAATATTGAAAAGCTAGCCTGTGCATGCATTCAGCCCAAAAGGTAGATTAGGACATTAGTGACTGTGTAAGGTAAGTGAGGCCTGTATTAACACTCTTTGTCGTCCCCACCATACAGATGCAGAAACTGTACCTCAGAGTAGTTAACGATATTTGTTTAAGGAACCACAGATGGTAAATGATGAGCTCAGGCTTACAATATGTTTGGAGGCTTCCAGATTTAATTTTTTTCCTTTATGTCAAAGTTTATCACTTGGATTTATAATTTAGTCTACATGTGTTATCTGAATCATAAATGCTTCTGGTTAAATCTTTCTCAGACCAAGAGTAATAAACCCATGTAAAATGGAAGATACTAAATTAATGTAATTAAAAAAAAATGTTCTCTAAAACCATGCATTACAAGAAAACTGAAAAACCATCCAGGTCAATCGCAACTTTAAATATGCAACTCATCCTCTTACCAGGGAAATTAATGATGGTTCATTTATTTAATTAATTGTTAAACTAATGGTGGCTTCTCAAAATATTTTTTTTTTCATTTTCCATAATATCTTATATGTAATTATTACTCTGAATTGCAACTGTAGAACTAAATATACTTGAAAATTGATCATAACAATGTTGATATTCCAATTAAAGCAAAAAGTTGCTTACAGCAGAAAAAAAGAAACTCAGAATGTTAAGGTACTTACTGCAGCTTGCCGATGGGTATTGGACAGTATTCCGTGAATCTTCACTTTGTCCTTTTCCATTTGGTCTATGTTCACCCACAAATCCCGGCTGGCAGAATCAGATGGGCCATATATCCGAGATATATAGTAATTGTGATCTGTGTCCTCCTGTAAGAATAGAGAATAATGCACATCAACAACAGAGAGCATGGATTGGCCTTGGAGGTACTATGCTAAGTGAAATAAGTCAGAGAAAGACAATACTGTGTGTTCTCATATGTGGAATCTCAAAAAGCTGAACTCATAGAAAGAGAGTGGAATGGTAGTTACCAGGAGCTGGGGTTCTGGGGAAATGGGGAGATGTTGGTCAAAGGGTACAAACTCCCAGTTATCAGATGAGTAAGTTCTGGGGATCTAATGTACAGCATGGTGACTAGTTAATACTGTGTTATGTACTTGGAAGTTGCTAACAGGGTAGATCTTAAATGTTCTCACCACAAAAAAGAAATGGTAATTATGTGGCAGGATGGAGGTGTTAGCGAACACTCTGGTGGTCATCATATTGCAATAAATATGTGTATCAAATCAACAAGTTGTACACCTTAAACTTACACAATGTTACATGTCAATTATAGCTCAATAAAGTTAGAAAAAAAGCATTTAAGTTACTATATACCCAACTTATGTAATTTACAGGTATAGAGTTCCATTGAAAAGAAAAGTCAACTGTCAAAAGAGAAAAAGAAGAGACATTGTCCCTAAAAATTTTTAAATACACACACACAAAAATGATCCTATGAAATTAGAAATGGTAGTGTTCTTCAAAATAGCCAAAGGAGTTAAATAACCTCTATGTGAATTAGATTTTAAAATATTAAATTAATAAGCCTCGTTAGAAGAAATTGTTAAATTAAAACAAACAAACAAACGGGTCGGCTGAGTGGCACGTTGGTTAAGAGTTGGCTTAGGAGCGCGAGCTCTGAGCAGCAGGGCCCCCGGTTTGGATCCCACATGAGGGCCAGTGACGCTGCGCCCTCTACAGCTAAGATGCTGAACAACAGCTCCACATGGAGCTGGGCTGCCATGAGTGGCCAGTGATGATGTAGGCTGCAGTGGGGTTGCAGTGGACTGCCATGAGCTACTGTGAGTGTCTGGCAGCCGGCGTGAGCTGCCATGAGCTGCTGAGCGTCTGTCCAGTGGCCAGCGAGCGACTGCCTCACCCGGGAAAAGCGCAATGATAATACCAACATGGGCCAGTGAAGCAACATCCTCCACAACCAGACTGAAGAACAAAAGGACAGCAACTTGTCTGTTCCCCTTACCCGATTCCCCAACGCTGTGCCCTCCCCCAATTCCCCAATAAAATCTTAAAAAAAAAAAAGAAACAAAATCTTAAGAGAAAAAGGTACACTCTGTGTGCAAGAGTCTTTTTACTACAGTAAATCTCTCTAATTGCTGCCCAAACAAAAATGTCACTTTTGGAACTACTTACTGAAAACCTGAGTCATAATTACTATTGAGTGACACAAATTGAAACTTCTCTTCTTTAAAACTAGGGTTATATTAGGGCCTGCTTTTAGTTAATGATCCTAGAAATAGGGATACATTTTTTCTCTATAATTGGATTATTAAATTTTACTTTTACTCGATTCTGATTGATATCACTATGGTGCCTGTCACAGAATCTTTTATTTCAAGTTTCTCACTCATCGAATAGATTTAAATATTTTAAAAACAATTTTGCTGAGGAATATCCAGAAAAATCATATGATTCTTAACTAATTCAAATTGTAATGATTTTTTACCATGAAATGTTAATTGTGCTTATTAATTTGTGGAGTCTGCTAGATGGAATATATTTTAAAACATTCAGGTTTTTGTAAGAGTAATGTTTAGTGAGTAGAGAGTCTATGATTTGAATAAAATTTGGAATGTGAATTTTGTTTAATGCATTTATTACCTAAGTGCCAGTTAAAAAAATACCATTTTTGATACCCTGTCAAAACAAGAATGCCATATAACTTTTCACTAGTCATCAAGCTAGATGTATATAAAACTGACTATATAAAGGAAAGGAATATTCTGAGCAATATTCTAAATAGATTTTTGCCACATGACTAAAAGAACAATATGACCCTACATGTAAACCCTGAGAACAGTGATGAAATGTTAACAGTGAGATTTAAAAATAAAGATCTGAGGTAAAACTCCAGTTAAACTCTGGGTATCACATACAAATTGTGTGTTCACCCACAATGAAAGGTAAGAAAGTTCTGCAGAGAAAGGAGGAAAAAGGAGATACAGAAAAGCAGCATTAATAAGATTCCATGCAGCCCAAGAGAGATTTGATACCCCAGTGGTTTTCCAGCATTCCTTTCTGAAGATTAAGTAAAAAGCTAATTGCTTGGGTTCTAGGAGGGTAACAGGCACTGTGGTTGTGTCTCCAACAGGTATTCAACTCCTCCCTGTAGCCTGGTCCTTCACACTGGAGGCTTCCAAGGTGGGCACCCTCCTTGACATTGGGCACAAGCCACTCTGCCCATGTCATTCCAGTGGCCACAAAGGCTGGTGGCATCATGAGCACACAACCTAAGGTCAATTGGTGAGGGATTGAGGAGTTTTGGTAGAAAGGAGATGGTTTCCCTTATCCTTATTGTTGAGATGTGTAGGTGTCAGACTTAGAACCACTGCCACCACTTGCTGCCCCAGAAAACCCTGCCCAGGACAAAGCTAACACAGATAACGACCTCACCAGCATCATGCAGAGGAAAAGCCAGGTCCTTGGTCGAGTGCATCTAAGTGTAACCTACTCCTGGCCATGTTCGCCTATGAACCATTAAATCTCTCTTACTGTTACAATCCCTTTAGTTGAGTAATTGTCAATCAAGAGAATTCTCACTGACAAACAAGTTTCCCTAACTTGCAACCAAAAAAAAACAAAAAAAACCTTAAGGAACATTAAACGAGGCAAACATCAAGAAATTTCTAGGTCTGGATAACAAACATCTCCCATTTAATTCTGGTATTCTACCTAATCACACAGCAGGAATGGAAACCTCAATCTATCCTGCCAGAAATCATCAAGTGTGAATAACACATAATAATGATTCATTTAATTTTTCAATGAATCATATAAAAGGGTGGTTCTGGAGGAAACTGTCAATGGATTTAAATAAAAATTTGATTTTTTTCCCGATTGCTAGAATTATTGTAGAGTTCAGCAATACTAAGGCCAAAGATGTAATCTTTAGGTGAATAATGTAACATTCTGTGATGCTGCCAATTCCCATCTAACTACCAGATAGATATTCTTCAAATTTCAGACTTTCACTATAGAATTCAACATAATTATTGCAATCAACATACCTAAAATGACTTTGGTATTTTCCTCAACCCCTAGATCTCTGTAATTAATCAAGACAGCCTTGAAGCTAATACACAGAATAGGAATATCATTATGCTTACACAATGGATTACCTATAAAAATATACATGATGTTTGCCAAATTACAATCATTGATTCAGCTATGTGAAAATACACCTTCATTTTATTTAAATCAGAGTTGCCTAAAACAATATCACATCTTTGAAAACATTGAAAAGCTAAAGACTAGAGCTTGGTGCTTGATTTCTATAACCCAAGCTTGCCAACTGTCACAGCAACTTTTATTCAAAACAGAAGATAATTTATTGTTTACCTAGAAATTTACAGACACAAATTGTTAAATTTCAGGGAGACACGTTTAGTTCATTCAGAAAAGCCATAAAATAGCTGTCTAAAAAGATGACATTTTAGCAGTATTAAATTATTCATACCATATCTTGTCCTTTGTAGGAGTAATGGTACTTAAAAAGTTGTCAAAAGCCACTTCAGGCACAAAGAGTTTCCTTTTCTTTTCAAAAGCAAACTATTTCTAACACCATAGAAAATAAAACAAAACACTACTGTGATACGCCTAGTTGCCAATTCATTTAGGAAACCAACTGTTACTGAAAGTAGATGGCACAGTAGGTAGCTGTAAATCCTATAGTAAACAGAGGACATACACCAAAAACCTACTCAAATCTATTTGCAGATTGGTCTATCCCCCTAGATCTTGTCTATGATTCTTTATAGGCATGCTTTTTTTCATTAATTCTTCACAGGAGTTTAATAAAGCGACCTCCAAGAATGTAAGATTAGTTGAGTGTGTGTGAGAGTGTGTGTGTGTGTGTGTGTGTGTGTGTGAGAGAGAGAGAGAGAGAGAGAGAGAGAGAGAGAGAGAGAGAGAGAGAGATTGTTGTGGAGTCAGATTATTGAACAACACATAAATTTGGGATTCCAGTGATATTTCCATTATAAAAAAGTTTCCACTTTTGTGGTAACAATCTCTGTCATGGAGGAGACTGTCTGTCGTGTTATGCAGAGAGGCACACTGTCTGGGTAAAGAAGCATGATATACTTATTTGTGATCATTCAAAACAGTAACAAAATCAAGGCTCTACAGTTCAATTCCGGGATTTCGAGACATGTTGGCTTGTGTTCAAGTTGACTCATTTATTAAATGAAGCACGACCTATTTTCCACCAGGATATACTTTTATCTGCTCCTGGTAGAAACCTTTAAGCTTTGCAAGACTGAACCTGAGAGACTCTTCCCAGGCTTAGAGTGGTGAGAAAGAAGAGGCCAGAGAGAAACGCTGGGGCAGTTTTGAGTGAATTTATAACATCTCAATCTACCTTTTATAAATACGAGCAAGAGATCCCAAAACAGTAGCCACTAAAGAGGTACCTTGCCAACTTACTAAGTGATCTTCAAGGGCTCCAAAAACTTAGCAAATACTGTGTAATTGAAAAAGTTTTAAAACATGTATGAGATTTCTATTAAAACACACAAAATTAGCATTAAAATAATGTAGCTCAAAGAAGACTTAGGTTGTTCTACCTCTAAGTAAGGCCACTGGAAATTCTGGACTTTGCTCATTATAAGAGGGAGTTGAATGGGTTCTGACATCCTAAAGCCATTAAGACAAATAGAAAGAATTTACTTAGCATGGGTCAGAAGACCCTTTGCTTTAAGTTATAGTCACCAAAAGAAATAAAAGTATAATTTGAAGAGCCAGTGCACGTAGCTTGTTTTAGCACCTGGACAGTATAGGACCATTTCAACAGGTACTTAATCATCCTTGT